TTCGTTGATAACTCGTTAACGACGCCTCGGAGACAATTTTTGTAAAGGAAAAAGTTGCTCCAAATGACCTCGGGAACCCCTCGTTTCCCGGAAATACCATAATTTTGGAACGATGACGAGTATACTCGTCTAACACAGATAACTGATCAAGTTGGCTGTAATTCGAGGCTCCGGATAATTTTTTCATTAGACGGTGCATCACGTTTATCAACGCCGTCCGACGTCTCATTTGACATCGTCGCAACGATCGCAGAAATTAAGATAACAATAATCCATTATCGGCGTTGTAAATTTTGAAACGTAGTTATCCTTCGCGTTCTTGCGAACGTAACGCACCCGCGGACGCGCCGCGTCTCTTTCGCCAGCAGATAACAGCCTCGCGGAGACAAAGCAATTAGTTCCGTCCGCGAAAACGCTAATAGCATGACGTTCCGCACTTTGTGTTTCGTCGAGCGAAGTTCCGATCGAGCTCGGTTCGGTGTGTCCCGCGTTGAAATCGCGCTCGATGAAATTCTACTCGTTCGGTATTCTTTTCGGCCACGTTCGGACGCGCGATTTAAAAACTTTTTCTTTTTTTTTTAAACGCTACGCTGATGATTAGTACGAATTTCTGTACGGTAAGGTTAAATTTGGCATTTTAGACACCACTTGGACGTAGATATAATATACATTGAATAATATATAATATATATATAATATATATTATATAATTATTGTATAATAATAATATATAATAATATAATAATATATATTATATAATTATTGTATAATAATAATATATAATAATATAATAATAACGAAATATTGTGTTCGTATTACATTGTTACTGATATATGTATATATAAAAATTTAACAAAATATCATATTCGTATATTTCTATTATATACGATATTTCGTTAAGCTTTCTCTTTTTAAATATACAGGGTGACTCGGCTAAAAGAGACCAACTTACGTAATTGTAAGCTCGAAGTAACGCTTACATTTTTTACAGATATTTAAACGAAGGCCAAGAAGAAAGCTATATTTGTATATTTCTATATCAAAAATAATAGAAAAAATAGTAATATACGAAAATAATAAATAATAAATAATAAAATAATAGAAATAATAATAAATAATAGAAAATAGTAATATATCAAAATAGGAGTATATCAAGTCAATGTTTTTATTCAAATATTGCTAGAAGTGTAAAAGTTGAACTCGAGTCTATAATTAGTCGCATTTGACTATAATTAATCGTCTTAAACGCTCTGCATACTACACATATACGCATGAGAGTTTCTTCCATGTGTGTATGTATGTGTGTGCAGCAACAATGTGTCAAATGCTGCCGAGGCGACTCCCGATCGCAAACGTCGCCTGCGATTGGTCCGGCTTCTCGCTGATCGCATAGAAGCGCGCACGCGATCATGTGACCGGGGCCCACGAACGATCAGTGTGGCGCAAGATTTTCGTCGATTGTTCGACATTGATATTTGGCGATCGTCCACGACGAATGCAGACGGATTAGATCATACGTTCGGCTCGAAAATAAAATTGACAGGACAGCTGACTGCCTTCTTTTTTTCGTGAAGCCCCCTCGGAGCACCCATCGTTGGGCTACGATTAGCAAATTATCCGAACGGAATTACGTACATCTTATCGAATAGATACGGTTCGGGAATGCACGTGACGCAGACTTTATCGAATCTCGTATTTTCTTTTTTCCATATTTCTATATGGACGATCGAGTCGGATTAATTAGCGAAACCTTGTGAAAATCTTTTTCTTTCTTTTTTTTTTTATCTTGGTACTATTCCGTTCGTTTTAGCGAGCCACGTGTACAGTGGCGCGAATAATTATAGACCCGAACTGCATATACATGGCATTCGTTTCGACGAGTATTATGTACAGCGGGATAAGAATAATTATGGACTCGAAGTAACATTTATAGTTTTAGTGATATTTCGGATTTTTAGCATTTATTTTTTTCTTTTTTATCAAGGTTGCTTCGAGTCTGTAATTATTCACAGCGGTGTAGGTGGCCTTCCTTTAGTTGAGACACCCTGTATATTCAGTGAAGAAAACTTGGTGAAATAATCGTATTTGACGATTATTATAAAAAAAATGTATTGTATATAAAATCTATATTATAAACAATTATATTCGCGAGGACAATTATTATTTTTATATAAAATATGAATTTAGTTAATTCGAGGGGATTGATTAAATTTATACGAATTTAAATGTTAGATCTAATTCTATTATAATATTATAAAAATCAAGATAATTTCTATAAATGATAGGATTATAAAAAAATATGTATTGAACATAAAATCTATATTATAATCATATTCGCGAGGACAATTATTATTCAGCAAT